GGATCCTGGTGCTTTCCTCCCGGGGCCACGGAGCAGAATGATACGCTCAGGGTCCTTACAGTGGGAATCAAAGTACCCAGCATGCAAATCTGTTCCCCTCAAGTCACCGGTGAATGTTGCTGCATATGAAAGTAGGAATTAGACATGACTTGATCGGTCACCTCGCTGCTTTGTTCATTTATAGAACACACCTTGACTATAAACAGAGCAATTACTGATTTACAAATTGACCTGTCATGTTAGTGTTCTGTTTTTGTTTATGTCTGCATCTACATGTGTTTGTGACTGTTGTCATGGCGTCCACACTGCAAAGTTTGGGTTTTATTCCTCCACTCTGAGGTCAAGACATTTACCAGGATTTGCATTTCACTCAGTTGCATTTACATTTCTTTATGTAGATGATGTCATATAGACTAATTCTCAAAGAGTGGCAGAGCAGTATGAACTGGCCCAGATGCTTTGATGAGAGCATATAGTGGCATGCAAAAGAAGATGAACTGATCTCCAAAAGACATGAAGTTAAAGATGAAACATGCTTTCAACATCTCAAGTCAGATTAAAGTATTATTGTTGTTTTGTATGATTTTAGAGTAAAAAAAATGAAAGGAGCATCATGCAAAAGTTTGGGCACTCCAAGACATTTGAGCTCTCAGACAACTTTTCCCAGGGTCTCAGACCTTAATGAGCTTGTTGGGTCTCTGACTTGTTCACAGTCATCGTTAGGAAAGGACATGTGATGCAAAATTCAAAGCTTTATAAATACTCTCACTCCTGAAACCTTGTCCCAACAATCAGCAGCCATAGGCTCCTCTAAACAGCTGCCTAGCACTCTGAAAACTAAAATAACAGATACCCACAGAGCAGGAGAAGACTATAAGAACATAGTAAAGTGTTTTCAGGGAGCTGTTTCCTAAGTTTGTCATGTCATTAAGAAATGGCAGTAAACAGGAACTGTGGAGGTCAAGCTGAGGTCTGGGAGACCAAGAGAACTCTCTGAGAGAGCTGCTTGTAGGATTGTTAGAAAGGCAAATCAAAAACCCCGTTTGACTGCAAAAGACCTGCAGGAAGATTTCTCAGACTCTGGAGTGGTGGTGCACTGTTCTACTGTGACACCTGGACAAATATGACCTTCATGGAAGAGTCATCAGAGGAAACCTTTCCTGTGTCCTCACCACAACATTCAGCATCAGAAGTGGAAACAAGTCCTGTGGACCATTGAAGTTAAAATAGAACTTTTTGGACACAATGAGCAAAGGTATGTTTGGAGAACAAACTGTTAAACACAGGGGTGGATGGATGATGCCCTGGGCTTGTGTTGCAGCCAGTGGCACGGGGAACATTTCACAGGTAGAGGGAAGAATGGATTCAGTTAAATTCCAGCAAAATCTGGAAACAAACATCACAGCATCTGTAAAAAAGCTGCAGATGAAGAGAGGACAGCTTCTACAACAGGACAATGATCCTAAACACACCTCCAAATCCACAATGGACGACCTCAAGAGGAGCCAGCCGAAGGTTTGGCCACGCCCCTCACAGTCCCCCGACCTAAACATCATTAAACATCTGTGGATAGAGCTCAAAGAGCAGAGCATGAAGACGGCCCAAGAATCTCACAGAGCTAGAAGCCTGTTACTGGAAGAATGGGTGAAAATCCTCCAAACAAGAACTGAAAGACTCTGAGCTGGTGTACTGACCATGCAGGGTGCCCAAACCTACTGTATGCACGCCACTGTACATTTATTGTCATGTAGCGTGCATTTCAAGAACAAGTTATAATCCTCAAGATTCAAAGTATGAAAACCCCATTTTAATGCTAACTGAAGATCAGTTTCTCTTCACCCTCCATCCCTAGACGGGACCAGATAACACATTACTAAAGCTGAATCAGGGGGCATCCGGATTTGAACCAGAGACCTCTTGATCTGCAGTCAAATGCTCTGCCACTGAGCTATACCCCCACTGTCTTTTGTGTAACAGTGAATTCTGTCTCATGTTTTCAAACAGAGCCCTGCCTCAGTGAAGAGCTGTCAAAAACCAGCTGAGGCAGATCAGCTGATGGCCGAGCTCCAGAGGGAGAGCAGCAGGATGAGGCAGCTGGAGGGCATCATGCAAGAAGCAGACACCGTTCTCAGACACATCCTGATGGTAAAACCACACAGTCCTGTCCAGGAGCACCAGGGCGGCTGCTTTAGTTCCTGCTGCAGTGTCTGATGGCTTGAAACACTCGCGGCTCTGAAAGATCATAATAGGCCCGTTTCCACTGCAGGAACTTCGCGGTAAATTTACGGGCCGGGGCCGTTGGTGCGTGTCTCCACTGCAGGCACCACCTCCGAAGGACAGAGTTCTGGAACTTTTACAGGGGCTAAACAAGTCCCAGCCTCGGAGTAGGTACTCAGAACGGCCGCTAGATGCTGATTGGATATACTCAAGGCGGGATGTGATGTCAACAGAAAGCGACAAAATAGCCGTTGTTTTTAAAACTCAGCAGACGAGGGTTAGCTCGTTCATAGCTTCCACCGCCATGTAAACGAAGAGACATGCCAGAAACCCAGCAACCACCTCAGCTCCTTCCATGTTGATTATCGTCTTTCTTATGTCTGCTTTCTTCTTCTTACTTCTGCTTCGTACTTTTGCTTCTTCTTCTTTGTTGTTGTTCTTTTTTGTTTCTTTCTTTGCTGCGTCACCCCGGGTTAAAATGGTCGCGCAACGATTACGTCACATCCAGAGCCCGGTAACTTTACACGAACCTTCCTCCTACTCCGCCGCACAGTGGAGACACGGCGGTTGAGAGGGCCGAGCGAGAGGACGTTCCTGTAAAGTTCCTGCCCCCCGGATAGTACCAGGAACTTCTTCAGTGGAAACGGGCCTATTATCTGTGGGAACTGTTCTCCAGAGAGGGAAGAGGATTCAGTGGTTTTTGAATCAATGTGCCTGGTTTTGATTCAGGAGGATCCCATTAACCTTCTGCTACTCCTTTACTGAGGATTTTTTAAATTCAGTAACAATTTAGTCTGACTCACCAGATGTAGACTGTGGCTTTAAGCCTGCTATCAGGCACTGATTACATCAGGTGCACTAATAACATCCGGTGCACTGATTACATCCAGCATTCTGGCTTCATTCTGCAAATTCCATTTGCTACAGGAAACAACAACAACCTCCAAACGAACAAATTACACGCTGAAAATTGCAAGTTTTAATGAAGATCTGGATCGTGCAGTGAGACATGCGTGATTTGTTTTTCCAGTGAACTGCTGTAAAGATCTCAGAAAAGCCCAGATTCTGTCTTACAAGACTCTAAAATTCTACTAGATCCACGTAGTTCAAGTATAATCATACCTGATTATCAAATTATGTTTGTCTTTTTTATCACTAAAAGTTGAATTGCATAGTGACATATGATTGTTGATGCTTTTTCATGGCATTTTCTTTTGCATAGCCATTTTAATGACAGTGCTCGCCTCCCCATGTGCAAAACAAGGGGTCCATGTCATTGGTCCGACAGCCCATTAGTCCGACATCCCGTTGTTCCGATATGTGATTGCCACTTTCTTTTTCATTTTAACCCACACCATGATCTTTTTCTAACCCTAACCCTAACCCTAACTAAGTGGTTTTCGTGCCTAAACCTAACCAGACCTTAACCACAGGGCATCATGATGATTTCGGAACAATGGGACTTTGGAACAATGAGTTTAATATGGTCGGAACAATGGGATGTCGTTGGACCAGTGGGCAGTTCCCAAAACGAGTTCCCCCCCACACCACTTTGCAAGGGCACCATCGCTGCATCCTGGGCTTAGCGCCACCCAAGACGATTGTGATTGGTTTAAGGAAACACAGACATGTTTTTTCGCCTGTAGCATAATAATAATGTGGGCTTCCAGATCTTTCTTCAGCGCTGACACAACACTGTGGAGGTAGGTCTGGCTACGCAAGACTAGAAACAATCCGGCAATGTCCAATACTATCTTACAAGTACAAGTTTTACATCAAAGCTTCTTCAGGAACAAAATGTTCTTAGGAAACAAAAGTAAAAATCCTAACGCAGAGCATTCAGGCAGTATTTAATTTTGTAGCTGGTCAAGGTGGAGCAGATTTTGTGTGTTCAAATGTTCTGTCTAAATGTGCAAAATAACTACATCTGTCAAGTAAATGTAGGAGAAAAAAGTACAATATTTAACTGAGATCTAGTGGAGCACAAGTAAAAAGCAGCATAAGATAGAACAGGTTTTTACCAGAAGCCAAATTACCCACAGAGGTCTCTTCCTCTCCGAAAAAAAAAATAGATCCGGTAATTTAAACCGGTAGAATCCCTGAATAAATCTGTTTTTACTGTAAGAAAATGTATGTTTTTCTTATGCTGCTCGTCACAGAGGGGGTACTAACTACATGGGCAGACGCAAAAACATGAAAATGTGTTTGGTTTGTCTGTTCTGAGCTACTTTAGAAACATGGCGGTGCAACATGGCGATCTCTGTGGACGAGCACCCGCTCCCTGTGTAGATAAACGTCTCATTCTAAGGTAACAAAAACACAATGATTCCTATTTTTGGGCGATTATACACTAAAGAAAAATACTTGAACACTTCTGGAACACTAACTAATTTATATGAAATCATAGTTTGTGTAATCAGTAGAGTGACAACTGGTGCAAACCATGTGAGGACAGGGTCTTCAAAGGAGAATAAAAGGCAAAAAACAAGTTTTAAATATCTTTATTCATGTGATCACTTACTGTAAGTCAGATCCTCTTTTCTTGAGGACTGCTGCTGTAAACTCATTATACAGAGAGGACACTGGCTCGCAGTGCAGAGGAACAGTCAGCAGATAAAAATGTGATAATCTCTGCTGTGTTTACAAAATGTTGAGCCAAGCTGAGGCCAAAGGTCGGACTGCTCAACCCCGACAGCCTGCTTACTTTGAACTGTCGCCACCATTTAAGAATCAATGAGCCTCACAGCGAGGAGAGGCGGAGTTCTGGGCAGACAGAGGATAACAGGCGCTGCAGGAGAGGACTGAAATCACAGCAGCCTTCGGACTCTGACAGGATGGAGCTCTATCTGGACCTGCACTCCCAGCCCTGCCGCTCTGTCTTCCTGTTTGCCAAAGCAGTCGGGATTCCCTTTGAGTTTAAACATGTGGACCTCAGTACAGGTAATCCCACACTGCCAGACAGACACATGGACAGAACTTTGTGGTTGCATGCATTGCTGATTTTTGAGAGTTTTAGTAAGACTTTTAACTCACATTCTGCCTTAAAGGGTTGGTTCAGATGTTTTGACATGGTGTTGCATGAGGTGTGTGGCTATATTTTGTATATTTTCGCTGCTTTACCTTACTGTCAGACAGCCCTTTCTGTCCAGGAACTGAACTGAAACTGAAAATGTCGCCAGACTCCTTTGACAAAACCAGTAATTTTACCTCTCTGAACACTGGAGCTGCTGGTCTACCACTGCCTGGATCGGTTAGTTTGTTCGTGTTATAGTGAGACTTTGGTGTTGTAAAGTGTTAAATCAAATTTACCAAAGTCACACAGTAACACAAACTGATAGTGGCAGCAGTTGACCAGCAGCTCCCGTGTTCTGCAGGGTAATATTAATTTAAACCGGTAAAATCCCCGAATAATGCAGTTTCACTTTAAACAATCGGTGTTTTTCCGCTGCTGCTTGTTGCGGAGGGGCTGCTAACTACGAGAAAATATGAAATCACAAATGTCCCTCTCTAGAACCAGTGTTTGGTTTGTCCGTTCTTGGCTACTGTAGAAACATGGCGGTGCAGCATGATGATCTCTGTGGACGAGGAGCCGCTTCGTATGTCGAAATAACTGGTTAAAATGACTGTTTTCGTAAATGGAGTCTGGTGTCTTGAAGAGTGCAGAATAATGGCTTCACTTCCTTGTCGGAAATGGGTGGGGAAAACAATAAATCAAAAAATTAAAAGTCACTACCACTTAGATTTGTAACAGTTGGCTTGATGTTCAGCATTGGGGCAGCTGTGGCTCAGAGGTAGAGTGGGTCGTCCACAAATCCCTGGCTCGTCTAGCCCGCATGTCGAAGCATCGTTGAGCAACTCCAATTTGCTTCCAGTGGTTGCTCCATTGGTGTGTGAGTGAGTTAAACACTGAGTAGCAGGTGGCACCTTGTATGATAACCTCGGCCACCAGTGAATGAATGTGTGTGTGTGAACGGGTGAATGTGACTCGTAACAGAGAAAGCTTTTTGAGTGGTCAGAAGACTAGAATGGCGCTTTACAAGTCCAGGTCCATATAGATTTACTTATTAATAACTTTGAGTTTGATGATAAGTTCCAGATTTAAACTATATATTTATTACGGTATATATTATTTTGACTTAAATCTTAAGTGATTTTTTTGCCACTGTCAGATTTTTTTAAGGGAGAGTGGAAAGATATTGGCAACTGAATCGGCTATAGGCTTTTTCCCCAATGGTGTGGAATGGCCTCTAAAACAAACCAATTGTCCAACTGAAGGCAGCGGTAGACCAGCAACTCCTTTGTTCTGCAAGGTAAAATGTTTTTCAATGGGGTCTGGTGGCTTTGATTAGACCATAGATGGGTTAGATGACCGACTGAAAGGTAAAGCTGTGAAAGTATTCTAAATATAGCGTACACTTAAAATGATACTGTTTTTCTGACCAGCCAAACTTTCTTTGGCTGGTCAAGAAAGTTTTTGCTGTTTCCAACACACTTCATCACTTTACCCTACCGTCAGGGAAGCCATTAACATCTAACCTATCTATGTTCTAATGAAAGCCACCACACTCCATTGACAAAAACATTTTAGCTCCGTAAAAATGGGAGTTGCTTGTCTACTGCTGCCTCCATCAGTTGGTTTGTTTTAGAAGTTGATATCGGACTTTTAAAGGTTGATATAATAACGATAATTTTGAACAATAGCTGATTTATCGGCCAATATCTCTACACCCTCCAAAACCAGTAATCCTACCTCGCTGAACACCGGACCTCCTGGTTTACCACTGCCTTGATTGGTTAGTTTGTTTGTGTTATGGCGGGACTTTGGTGTTTCAAAGTGTTAGTTCGGATTTACCAGAGTCACACAGTAACTCAAACTGGTCAAGGCAGCAGTAGACCAGTAGCTCCTGTGTTCTGCAAGGTAAAATTACTGTCTTTGTCAATGGAGTCTGGCGGCTTGAAGAGAGCAGAATAATGGCTTCAGTTCCTCTTTAGAAAGGGATGGGCAAAAATTTAAATTACTACCATCTAGATTTTTTTCAGTTAGTTTGAAAATGAGTTCCAGATTTTTATATCTATTTGGTTATGTATTACTTTGGCTTAGATGTTCAGTTATTTTCCAGGGAGGGTGGAGAGATGTCCGCCAATAAATCAGCTATCAGCTTTTTCCTGTTCCAAACTATTGTTATTATATCAACGTTTAAAAATCCAACGTCAACTTCTAAAACAAACCAACAGATTGAGACAGCAGTAGACCAGGATCTAAAATTACTGTTTCTGTCAATGGAGTCTGGTGGCTTTGATCAGAACATAGATGGGTTAGATCTTCACGGTTTCCCTTAAGGAAAGGGCTTTTTGACGTTAAGGTAAAGCTGTGACAATATTCTAAATACAGCATCCACTTAAACTGACACTGAATCTTTGGTGGCCAAGATAGTTTAAGCTGCTGCCTCCCGTCCACAACAGTACATTACTTAGCTTCTGTGTCAGTACTCTGTGTGATTCTCCAAACTGGGAGCGTGCCAACCCTCACCTGTAGGTTATACATTTTGACGCTAAGTACCTCATATAACCCCACTTCAAATAATCCAAACTATCTTTGCTTAACATAGTTTATTTTGTGCTTTAGAAATGTACACAAACGTTCCAGATGTTTGAGTTTGCAGAGTTCAGTAACCGGCAAACGCTGAACTTGTTGCGTAAGCTTTAGCCCCAGATGTAGCCACTTTCTTTGGCTTTCTGATTGTAACTATGTGAACACACCCTGCAGGAGTTGGAGTTGAACATCCCTCCGGCCTTAAATTTGTTCTGTAAGCACATAACCTTCCTCCTGTGGGCTATCAGCTTACATTGTTACATTTCACCCAGAAAGCTGACAGGCTCATCCGGCGAGGAGTAGAGTTATGTTAACTCCTCGATAACCGACTTTACAAGCAAACAGCAGGTGGGATGTCGAGGGTCAGAGGTCAGAGCATCCAGACAAAACATTCCTGCGCCTTTGAGGTGATCGAGTATAACAGAGATGTGTTGGGGAAAGGAAATAAAGAAAGGAGAAGTGTTTGAAAGCAGATAAGAAGGAAAAGGGGAGGGAAAGTTTGAACCAAAAGAAAAACACCAGCTTTTTTTTCCCCACACTCCGATACTTTAATCTTCTCTTCTTCTCCAAATGGAGGTACAATCTGTTTAACACAGTGTGCATGTATTCTTATTTCTATTTACATGGCAACACAAAAAAACAGACTGCAGACTTTTTCTTCATCTGAACACATCTGTGCTCTCATGTTGTCATGTGTTTGTCTCAGGGCAGCAGTACAGCGAGGAGTTTGGAAAACTGAGCATCGTGAGGAAGGTTCCTGTCATGAAGGATGGAAGCTTCGTGCTGACTGAAAGGTACAGCGTTGATTTGTTCAGTATTAGGATCAACTTCCTCACACTGACACATGATTAGAATAATTTTTGAAGGTTGTTACTGATACTTATGGCCTGGAGCCGCTGATAGCTCTCTTCAAGTGACCGTTTGTTCATGTTGTAGATGCCAGGCGGCGAGTAAGCTATGATGGAAACCTGCAAGGAAGAGTTTGTCGAGCTCTTTCAAAGCCTGCTACAATAATCAGTTTTTCAAATAAAACCATCCTCTTCTACATTCCCCTCAGTTGGAGTTAGCAATCAAAATACTTACTGTTTAATCTGTGGGGGTATTTTGATCTCCATTCCAGTTCAATGAAGCGGCAGGGTGTCTGTGAAGTACTGTAAAGTTTAGTGGATTCAAAACACACATTAAACACACATTAAACATGGCTTAATGGAGACAGTTTCAAACACAAGTGCACAAATCAGCTTCACTATAACTCGCAGCACTCACAGACAAACACTTGTCTTTATCTGGACACATTTTCCCCACAAATACAACATGCTAACGTTATTAGCACAAGCCTATGGCATTTTACATTGTATAAATTAGCCAAGCGGCTAGCAGAGTTTTTCTCCAATCATATGAAACCAGGATAAATCACACACAAGACATAAAAATCGATTTTTCTGGAGGCTTTATTGTCTTCATAATTTATTCTTTGTTATCTGTGAAATTAAAGCAAATAAAAGCTTCGTTTCCACTGAGGGAAATGGTTTCAGCTTAAGCCGTGGCGCGGGGGCTGTAGGGGATGCCAAGGAAAAAAAAAAACAAATAAAAAAGAACACAGTGGCCTGTGGAAAAATGTTGAAACAGAATTTTGGAAGAATGCCACCTGACATCACCCTGTGGTGGCCAATCACATAACTGGCAATATCAGACCATAAGATGGCTGCAGTCGTACAGTCTCTTTGCATTATTAAATATTATAGTGAATAAAAGAAATAAAGTATGTAGTAACATCTCATGCTTACTATCCTAAAGGAGAGCTCTCGCTTTGTTTGTGTGTGCACACTTATGTCTTTTGTGGCGGTAAAGATAATACAGTGATGATAATCAAAAGGAACTCTACAGATCTTTAAAGCCAACATAAACAAACTTCTGAAGACAAATACCCAGAAACTGAGACAAACGATCAGCTTGTGGGTCTTCACCCTCCACTCTCCCACAAATGAGCCATTTTTAGTGACACTCCCACGCCATTACACAAATCTGCTGCTAATCGCCACAGTGCCTGATTTGGTGTGAATGCAGCCCCAAGTCTTTGGACTAATGTCACTTTAGGGACTTACGTGAGCAAACCATCTTATCTTTGGTTACTGTTCATGCTCTTTTCCAATAGACTGTTCAGAAATGTTTTGTGTGGTTGATTTTATTTTCATTATTGACAGTATCTAATTGTTGTTCTGAAAATTTGCACATCACAAGGGGTTGTTTTTAAGTGTTTAAATAGTATCGACCAATTTTGAGTGGGTGTCACAGTTACATCACAGCAGTTGAGTGTGCATACTGGTGGCAGAAAAACAGCAGTCATCGGAGAGAACTGGTCGACATACCCAGAATAAAAATATTTTCTTGTGCTTGCGTCTCAAAATGTGTGCATTTTTTGATACGCGCCGCAGCGTCGCATGTAATACCATGCGTTGCCAGTGGGGGTGATAATGCAAGCGACGTACTTGAAATTAACCACTTTTTGTTATTCACAGAAGAAGCAGGTATGAAATATGGGGGGCAAGGAGGAAAAACTTTGCGAACTCGTACGGGCACACCCCCATTTATGTGACAGTTCTAGTGCCCTGCGCTCTGATAAAATAGCAGTACAAGCTAGCTACAGCAGTATTAGCTAGCCGGATTGTACCGGTGACTCTGCTACCCCCTATTGCGTGAGCGATGTATTGCATTTAAAGTGTCGCCCGTGTTGCTTGCGTTCAATGTGTTGACTATGAAAGGAAGTGCGTTGCTCGCGTCGCTTGCGTCGGTGCTCACGTTGCGTGTGTTGACTATGAAACAGCCCTAAGATAATGTTTATTTTTATCGAAGGCTGTCGTAGAGGACGCTGTAGTAGACTTTAAAATTTTGTCCTCAGTTAATTATCATCTCGATATTCATGATATACTCACTGATGGATACTCCGTAGAGAAGTGTGTGTTTGGTTTACATGAACAGAGTTCCGTGATGTGGCGAAGGTAATTCATCATCATTAGAAACTGTAAAAACTCACATTTATAAGCATGGATTTGTCTTATTGTCCTTAAAACTTGTGGAGACGTCCACTCATTATACAACTTAATGTGGAAGTAACACACAACTTTTCAACTAGCTAGCTAACGCTGTCTGTTTATTAACTCCATGATCATAACAGAGTATAATAACTTTCACCACTGCTCATTTTAGAGCGGACACCACAAGACAACATGCTCTTTGTTTAGATTAATAAACGGACAATGGATCATTGTTTCTTTCTAGTTTTCAGCGATCAGCCATAGGTAGCACGTTAGCTACGTTAGCTACATCGCTAATGTTAGGGTGACTTTCACTTTCCCTGCCTGGATGCAGATGAACTGATCTAAACACACATTATGGGATTTCTTGTGACCTTCCTAAAGTGAGCAGTGTTGAAAGTTATATACTTTGTTTGCTCCTGGTCGGTTGATAATATTTCCAGTGCAGATCAGAAACAATGAGGTGAAACAGTTTCACAAACACTCCATCAGAGCATTCATTTGTTTCTCCCACTTTCTTTGTGCTGTGTGTTTTTTGCAGCACTGCGATCCTAAAGTACATGGTGCAGAAACACTCATCGTCAGTGGCGGATCACTGGTTTCCAGCCGACCTGCAGCAGCGAGCTCGTGTTAATGAATACCTGTCCTGGCAGCACATGAACCTCCGAGCTCACGGCTCAAAGGTCTTCCTGCTCAGGGTACGAGACCCCAGATCAACCCGGTGCTGTATCCTCACTTGACCTATGGGGTGCTGTTTGTAAAGTGTCTCACGCTGAAAATAACATCAACATTTTGCCACATTTAGCTTCAAACAATGCTTAAAAAGTATTGTGAATTTTTTAACGTCACCTTTTACCACATTTACAGCAATATTTGTTAACTTAGAAATATATTAAATACAAAACCCAAAACCAGTGAAGTTGGCACGTTATGTAAATCGTAGATAAAAACAGAATACAATGATTTGCAAATCCTTTTCAACTTATATTCAATTGAATACACTGAAAAGACAAGATGTTTAATGTTCAAACTGAGAAACTTTATTTTTTTTTTGCAAATAATCATTAACTTAGAATTTAAAGGCAGCAACACATTGCAAAAAAGTTGGCACAGGGGCCTTTTTACCACTGTGTTACATCACCTTTCCTTTTAACGACACTCAGTAAACGTTTGGGAACTGAGGAGACCAATTTTTGAAGCTTTTCAGGTGGAACTCTTTCCCATTCTTGCTTGATGTACAGCTTAAGTTGTTCAACAGTCCGGGGTCTCCGTTGTCGTATTTTACGCTTCATAATGCGCCACACATTTTCAATGGGAGACAGGTCTGGACTACAG